GCGTGAGAGGGGGTTCTGGGGGGTAGAAGCAGCAGGTGGGCAGCCTGGCAAGCRCTGAGAATAGCGAGTGTGTCCAAAGAACCCCATCCTGCTGGGGAATTACAGCAACAACGAGTACCAGCACGAGTGATGGAAAGGGAGGGTTGGAGGCAGAAGGAAATCAGAGCCCACAGCTGACCTGGCAGCAGYGCCAAGCTGCAGAGCCCTGCTTTTAGGTCATTGCCAGGAGAAACGCGTCACCCTYTTGGAAATGTGGGTCCCCATGGTGAAGCCAGAGGAAGGTGCTTACAGGGATGTGAGCAGTGCCCAGCTTGGGAATTATATAATTACGTGAGTCTGAGAGAGAACCCTGTCCGATGGCGTCACACGGGGAAGGATCCCGACGCCATCTGAATCCCGTGATGGCAGACCCTGCCTCAAAGCCAGCGCTGCAGACACCACAAGCGGCTTAATCCGCTGAGCGCCGGGATAATGGGGCACGGCGGGGCCGGAGGAGCCCCTGAGCACGGCTTCATTCCCAAACCCTGGCAGAGGAGGGGGCGAGCCGTGATTCATCTGCCTCCCACATGCCGCCCCTCGMTGCAAATCCTACCCGCAGATAATTGCTGTCTTCCTGAGTGGGTATTCCAACAGAGGGACCAGCCCGGCTGCGGGGCCGCAGCGACAGCTCGGGGCTCTTTGAAGATGCTGAGCGAGCTGCTAAATATGCAAATCTCGGCACACTGCTGTGGCGCTCRTTTAATGGAGTTATTGACCCTCTGCAGCTGTGTGGGAGCAGGAAGAGACAGACCCAGCTAAAACTGTGGAACGCAGCATCACTGCTTGACTATTTGAGCCACGGGCCAACCTCTGCTCTGCTGGGCTGTTTTAATGGCTGGGAGTTGCTCTGAAATGCCGTTTCTGAAGAGCAGAAAGCTGCTGGGTCATATTTCTGTTTTGATTCCATGAGAAAAAAGAGAGGGTTGAGGGTGTAGCTCCAGGTCATTTTGCCCAGGGCTGGAAGCTAAAACAGGTCCAGAGCTGCCCTGGAAATGTCTCCAGTGGAGCAAAGCCAGCTCTGCCTCCTGCTCCAGGTTTCTTTCAGGGCTGCATCTGGTTCCCAATGATAATGTTGATGCCAACATCCTGCTCACGCCTGGGATAATCTCCCTTTTATTATACGTGTCCTGATGGGGACAAACATTGCTGGTTCTGYCCGTCCAGTTTCTTATGTAACAGCTTGCAGGGACCAAGGGCTGTGTGGGGGAGAGATGTATTTGGAATAAGCTCCTTGGGGAAGAAACCTTAGGTCTGACCCTYCCCATCCTACAAGGAGGCAGCTGATTTGCCTGACACTCACTGCTCAAGCCCAAGCAATGAACACACCTGGCACAACCAGCAGCCTCCCCATTCTTCCCCAAAGAAAGCTCATCCACTCTGGGCAGGGCTGTCTTCAGCTTCCTGCGGGCTCTTGATGCAGTTGGAGAGGTCTGGATGAAGCTCAGGACAGTGTTCTCCTTTCCTGGCCAAGTCTCCTGCTCTCCCTGCCCAGCCCCGCAGAGCAGAGCAATCAGCTAAATGCTTTATCCTTCAGCAGCCAGTCACGCCAGAGAAAAAAAAAAAACAAACAAAAAAACCCCCGAAGCGATCCTGTTGCTGGCCTGTCACCTTAAAGCCTCTCACCCCTCCCTGTCTTTCATCGGAGTCCTAAACTCCTTAGGATGTCATCACGTGCTCCATAAATAACAAATATATATAAGCAGGGGCTGTGGAGGATGCAGCAGACAGAGGAGGGGAGGCAAAACCCCAGATCCTCCTCTCCTGCCAGCGCTGAGACAGCACCCCWGGAGCAGCACAGGGTCCCTGGCCGGTAAGCACCCACATTCCTGTCACACCCGGGGGACTGATGGCCTTGGGGACAGATGGTGGCCTCCTGACCCCTGTGACTTGCCCCTGTATCCCAGGATGGGGGGAATTTCCCCAGAGGGGTGGGAGGTTGGTGTGTGGAGCTTGGCTTGCTGAGAAGTGGTTTTRGTGCAGGGAAGGGTGTGAGTTTTGTCCCAGCCCCTGTGTCACCCCTACACTTCCAACATGTGCTACCAAAAACCAGCTGTGAGGACTCTGCTCACTGAAACCTTCCATGTTCTTGGTGTGGGAAGAACTTGAGTGCTTTAGCRTGGAATATTTCACTTTAAAACTGGGTTAATGACTCTTTACTATCAACTAATTTAAAAAATCCAGCTCCAAACCCAGGGAGACAATTAATAACTTAGTAAAAGATGCTGCCGGGGGCGTGCTGTGCACTTGCCTGTTTATTTGCATGTGAGCATCTCTCTGGACCACTGGGATGCTCTGATTTCTGGTGCACAAACACAAATCAGGGCAGGGAAAATTTACAGAGTGAGCTCTTGKTTCACATAAATATCATGGGCTCATCTCAGACAGGTTTGGCAAGGAGTCACAGCACAAAATTCAGCCTGGGGTATAAGCAGCTTGAACAAATACAGGGGGCTTCACTGGAGCATCAGAARACAGACGAGCCACAGAGAGAGAATTTTCCTCATCACTGTTTCTCWCTTAGTCTGGGACCTGGGCAGAATTTCCTTCACCTCTGCAGGTTGGATGCTGATTCCTCCGTGCTCTCCGGGCTCTATACATCCCCCCCTCCCCAGAAGACCTTTGACTCTGCAGGGAGCAGAGAAGCAAAGCAAGAGGTTCATTTGCAGAAAACAAACACAAATCTATCAGCCCTTCAGCTGTGCAATCTGGGTTGCCAGGAATAACGTGCTGGAGGGGAAAAAATACAAGGAAAACAGGCAAGGAGCAACCTTTTCCCATCACTAACTACTGCTCCAGGGTGTTGCTGGTTKAGGTCTCAGGAAATTTCTAAAAATAGCTGGAGGGATCTGATTACCCTTTCCCAGTTATCTCAAATGGGAATGGAGCAGCTCAGAGGTTTTGAACCCCTGAGCTCTGTGGATGTCCTTATAGAGACCTCCTGTGACTCAGTTGTTTCCAGCCTTCATAGGCTCTGGGATAAAGGCTTGCTCATGGACAGTGAGCACTGAATGATGGCTATTGGAGAGCAAGCACCCTTGAGGAGCCTGGGCTGGTGGGAGCTGTCCCTTCTCACTGCAGGGGGGTGAACCAGGTGATCTTTAACAGTTCCTTCCAACCCAAACCTTTCCAAGATTCTACAATCATGGCCTGATCCCACAGCATCTCCTCAGCAGCATCCCCAGAACCCACCCCAAGCATTCAGCACCCCCAGGATCAAGCCCCCATTGCATTTTATGGGTCCCCCAAGCCTACCCTCTTGCCTGCTGTGGGATTTATTCATGCAGATGAGTCCCTAATCCAATTAGGAGGATGGGGAGTTCCAGAAGATTGGATAATAAGCTCTACAAACACTACACCCACCCCCCTCTCCCCTCCAGCTCACCCCCTTTTATTTCCCTCCTGCAGGACCATGAACCACCCATTCCCAGCACCAGCTCAGTCAGTCCTYGGTGACTGGAATGAGCACTGGGGATGCTAAATAATTCCCCTGCTGAGGAAACCCCCTGTCCCTGATGGATCTGATCCCTTAGATACACACCCACAGCCAAACCAGCGATTCATTGAAAATAAATCCCAAGACCACCCTGTCTCACCTCAGACGGGATAAGACTGGCATTTCAAGCATCCAGCCCTCGGCATTTCAGGATGGAAAATTCCCAGCTTGCGCTGGTTGTGCCCTGTGCAATGTTTGTGCTGGTAATGCTTTTGTTTCCATAAATCCTATTAGCTGGAGGCAAGCCTATAATTAGCAGGGAAAGCTGGCACCTCTGAAACAATAATCAAAAATGACCTGGCTTTGCTGCAAATTRCTTGAATATTGGTCTGAGTTTGGATGGCTGGTCGGATGGATGGCTCTGGTAGCTATTCCCACTATTTCTGTCTGCAGGATGCATGTGCTCAGTGCAGTTATTCGCTCAGTTTGTGGTTCTCTCTGGGTTTATTAACTCGGTTCACTCACACGTGAAAGCAGAAGCAGATTGGAGCTACAGGCTCTGATCCAGGTCAAGGGATTTGTCTGGGCTGTGCAGGACGAGTGCTGCCAGATGACCTCGGATGCTGCTGACCCTCTTGTGTCACAGTTGGAGTGTCCTGTCCTGCGCTGTGTCTGGTGGGATCATGCTACCCAAAGCTCCTGAGGCAGGGGGCAAAGCCTGGGGCACCTCACCAGGGAGGACACCCAGCCTCGGTCACCTGCTCAATCCTGCCAGGGACCCACATCYGTGAGCGTGGACATGACCTAAGAGCTGGCAGAGGTCAAGCTGTGTCACTCACCCGCTGAGTGAGTCAGAGAAGGGAGTAAATCYTGTCAGCTCATGCTGTCTTGGCTGCCTGAAGTGTGTCCGTGTCAGGGCACCTCACCTCTGTGGCCTGGCACTGACCKCTCACTCCTGCAGAGCAGGGCTGTTCCACAAGTGCCAGAGCATCACTGGAACTTTCACACAGACAGATGCTTATCTTACAGCTCCTGCTTCCTGCAGCCACACCCCAGCCTACCTGTCCCCAGCTGGACTTGCCCCAGGGTTCTGCTGCCCATCCCACTGCCTGGTGCTGCCATGGGCTGGGAGRTGTTGGGCAGGATGCTCAGCCCCAYACCTSCTGCAGCTCTAACAGCAKGYCCWTGTCCCTGCTCTGTCCCACYACCTGCATCACTTTTGTCCCYCTGGTCCCCGGGRTTTGCTCAGCTCACAGTTGGTGCCAGCCTCCTGCGTGYCCAGCTCACAGCGAGGGCAGCTGGGGGCACTGTGGGCGGGTATTTGCTGTACACACACACACRTATCTATAGGAAAATGGGGACAAGCAGCCTAATCCTGTCTGCCATCAACAGATATTTCCAGTGGCTGAGTGCTGGAGCAGCTTGGCTGGAATAAAGGGTGTGGGAGCCGGCAGAGGCTGCCCCGAGCAGAGGTGAGCCCAGCAGGAGGAGGAGGAGGAGGAGGAGGCAGAGGAGGAGGAGGAGGAGGATGTCGGCGCTCAGCGCGTTGCCCTTCCTGAAGCCGGTCCACTTGCGGTCGCCCCGCAGCTCGCCCGGGGGCCAGCGCCGGCACACGCTGCCCGCCAGCGAATTCCGCTGCCTCAGCCCSGAGGATGCCGTCAGCGTGTTCGAGATCGAGAGGGAAGGTAAGAGAGGGGTCCTGCCTGCTGGCACCAGCTGGAGATGACCCTTTCTGGTCCCAGTCCCCTGTGCTCCTTTGTGTGCCCTCGGGGGAGGGACCCGGTGGCCATGACCTCCAGGTCATCCCAGGCTTCCCAAGGTGGGAGAGCTGGAGAACCACGGCCCCAGCTCACCCCCGGGTGGGGATGGTGGGAAGTGGTGCTGAGCAGGAGCAGGTGAGAGAGGAGCAGCTCTCCCAAAACAGCCCTGTGAGAGGCRGTGGGTGGGACAGGAGAGGGAGGAAGGACACCATGCTCTGCCTCCTGCTGCTCAGACACACTTTGGGATGCCACTGGCAGTCTTCCCCTGCTCTCTCTACCCCAGCTTCCCKCGCCCAGCTCATTTCTCCCTCCTGTCCAAGGACAGGGGCCCCTGGGGAGATGCCAGGAGGGAGGGAGGGTTTGATTCAGCACCCGCTGCTGTAGCTGTGGGATCAGCAGATTTAGGACTGGTCACTGGGCCATGGGGAACGGCCTCTGGAGGAGMAGAGCTGCTCCCTGGAGCCATCCGTGTCGCTCAGGATTCCTTCAGACCCAGCAGGACATGTATCACCTCTCCCCATCACATCCCGCTTTCCCCCCCTATATCAGATCTGGGAGTTTTTGTGGGTCGGGTGCCCTTTGTCTCTCTCTCACTGTGCTCACCACTGTCCYCTGCAGCCTTCATATCGGTGTCTGGGGACTGTCCCCTGCACCTGGACGAGATCCGCCACTTTCTGAACCTGTGCCCRGAGCTGTCCCTCGGCTGGTTTGAGGAAGGGCGGCTCGTGGCCTTYGTCATCGGCTCCCTCTGGGACCAGGAGAGGCTCAGCCAGGTAACACTCACTCCTTCCCACCTCGAGCCCTGGGAGAGGCACTGCCTGAGCCTGGGGAGCAGGARAAGCTCCCTGGGGCTACCCACCAGATATTCTCCCAGGACTAACCACTACAGGACTGTTCTGCTGGAAATGAACCTTCTCATTAATTAATTTTAATGGTGGTGCTGTTAAAAAATGTGCCTAGTAATTCCCCTCCACGTTAATTTTAAAATTAAAAACCCTCCAAAGATGATGGGGGGAGGTGAACAGGGATCAGGACAAGGTGGACCCTGGTGGGGAGGTGAACGGAGATGGGGAGGAGGTGAACCCTGGTGGGGAGGTGTTAAAAAATACGCCTAGTAATTCCCCTCCACATTCATTTTAAAATTAAAAACCCTCCAAAGATGATGTGGGGAGGTGAACGGGGATGGGGAGGAGGTGGACCCTGGTGGGGAGGTGAACAGTGCTGGGGACAAGGTGAACCCTGGTGGGGAGGTGAATGGAGATGGGGATGAGATGGACCCTGGTTCACTGGGGTGGGGAATAAGAAGCAGGAAGGGACCCCCTGGCCCCACTAACCCCGTTCCCCCTCGCAGGCAGCGCTGACCCTGCACAAACCGCAGGGCTCGGCCGTGCACATCCACGTGCTGGCCGTGCACCGCACCGTGCGCCAGCAGGGCAAGGGCTCCATCCTGATGTGGAGGTACCTGCAGTACCTGCGCTGCCTGCCCTTYGCCCGCCGTGCCCTGCTCATGTGCGAGGATTTCCTCGTGCCTTTCTACCAGAAGTGCGGCTTCGAGGCGCTGGGGCCCTGCGAGGTGACGGTGGGGGACCTGGCCTTCGTGGAGATGCAGCACCCGGTGCGGGGACACGCCTTCATGCGCAGGAACAGCGGCTGCTGAGCCCCCTGTGCTCCTGCTGCCTGCGGGGACGAGAGGCTGCAGCCCCTGTCCCTCCTCACCCCTCTCCTCCCTCTGCCGCATCTGCCTTCCAGCCACACCAGCCACACCAGCCCATCCCTGCAGGGTTGGGGACACAAACTCCTGCCTGCTCTCCTGCTGGGAGCACCAGCTCCYGGGCTCTGGTTCAGCCAGGGCTGTGCTGCAGGACTCTGGGATGGAAAGGCTTTGCCCTGGGAACAGCTGGGGGCTCTGCTGTTTCAGGGGCACTTCCACCTGCTGTGGGTTTGCTGAGACACCTAGCAGAGCCCTACAAACACACCCCAGCCTGGCATCCATCCCACAATCACGAGTGAGCACATCACACAAGTGAGCCAAGCCCTCCCTAAGCAGTCCCCACACCCGGCAGGGGTCTGGCAGCCGCCCCCCTGCCCACAGACATCTTCCCAGACCCCTTGGAGCACATCCCCAGCCCACAGGGAGCCAGTCCAAACCTCCGTGTCCCAGACCAACAAGTGGCCGAGGACAAGCCTTCTGCAAACACCTCAGGTTGCAGGAAAGCAGTGAATAAAGATGTGGTGATTTTCTACACAGTCCAAGTGTGTTCCTGCCCTGCTCTGACCACGGCCTCACCACAATGGCCAGAGGGAGGGCACGAGGGGAGCAATCCAGTGCCCCTTGGGCACCTCAGCCTCGGGAGAGAAGGGACAAATCCAGCCTCAGGTCATTCATGAAGAGTGGGATAAAGGCAGGGGGGACTCTGTCCTCAGGAAGGATCAGGAAGTTCCATGGATTCAGGTGTTTGGCTTCTCCTTGTCCTTGAGACCCTCCAAACCCTGTGCCCTCCCAGGGAGGGGTTTAAGTGGCACATGAAGGCACCAGCTCCACCTTGTCCTCCCTCCCTGCCACACCAAAACAACCAGAACCTCCCCAAAAATGCCGCATCCCCGTGCCCGAGAAGGGAGAAGAGGTCTCGTGCCATCCCATTAAATACAGGTAGAAATTTATTAAGGGGGGGAACCCACAGCTTTAAAAAAAAGTATCAAAAAGAGACAAATGAGGTGAAGTGTCTGTCTTTGGCTGGAGCAGCAACTGGAGGGACAGAGCAGGGCTGAAAWGTGGCCCAGGGCGGAGGGAGGGAGGCAAGGACGGATGAAGGGGCCACAGGCTCCTGGGCTCACCCAGAACAGAACTGTGGAGGGGGAGCCAAGCTCCCAGCCCTTGAACATTGATCCTGACTGGGGGATTCCCACCTGCCCCCATTTAAAAGCACTGAGGCCTCCAAAAACACAGCAACACAGCTCAGGGGAGGGACAGCCTGGCACCAGCCTGGCTCCAAACCAGCCCAGAGGGGTCACCCGGACCCCAGGAAGGACCTGCCTTCGTGCCACGGCTGGTGGGAGGGAGGGGATGCTGGGGAGAGCAGCCCAGGGCTGGGGGCAGTGGCAATGTGCAGCCTTGGACAGGGGACAGGGATGGTGACAGCCCCATCCTGCACTGCTCCATCTGCAGAACAGAGGGGTACCCGGGTGTCCACGCTTGGAAATGGGGAAAGCAGCAGGGACTCAAGGCAGAAAGTGGGAGCACCAAGAGCTCCTTGAGAGGTCTGTGGGCTCCAGGGGCAGCCACATGAGCCCCCCACGGGTTTTTTCTCCATGTCTCCCTCCCACCATGGCATTACAAACGCGGTCCTTGCCGCTCCTCCCCTTCCAAAAGGAGAATTTYGCTGAAATAAGGGGAAGAGAAGCCCCCCATCCTAAGTCCTGCCTCTCCATCCAGGGAGGAGCCAGGTGGGAAGGCACAAACCTCCCTGGGGGCCTCTGGGGGAACAGGACTGAAAAATATCTTTGAAGCTCAGCTCTGGATGTCTTGGAGCCACAGCAGAGACTCTGGGGAGCCCAAAAAGGGGAAACCCTGGGCCTGAAGAGCTGTGGATAAAAAAAAAGGCCCCTGCAAAAAGGGGGTTGTGTTCACAGTATGAGCTGCAGTGCCTCGGGGCATTGAGGTGGGACGGAGCCCCAGGCAGGCAGGGGCACAGGCTGGAAGCTTCAGTAGCTTCACCCCAGGGCTGGGACTCCAGCCTGGCCACGGATACACCAAAATCCCGCTTCCCTCAGCCGTTTCCCCACAAAGGCAGCAGCAGAGTCAGTCCCCAAACCACTTATGGCTTTCCAGCATCAGGAGGGAGCCCCAAATGGGTGCAAGGCAGGGCTGGCTCGGCCCTGCATCCCAGCACTGAGCATTGGGGGATCCCAAACCCAGCACCCCTGAGCACAGAGCCACACCCAGGCTCTGCCCCACCCCGGGGCAGCACCCACCCCACAGAAAACATCCCGTCCCAGCCCCATCCCTGCCAGCAGGGTCAGTGCAGGACCTGCTCCAGCTCGTACTTCTCGCAGAACTTGCTGGTGAAGGGCAGGCAGGTGAGGTACTCCACCCAGCGCCAGTTGATGGGGCACACGTAGAGCCACACCACCAGCGAGGCRAAGAGCCCCACGAACACCAGCAGGGACACGATGATCATGGCCCGCTTGCGGTACTTGTCCACCGTGCCGAAGGTGATGTAGGGCAGGAAGGCGAAGGACAGCAGCAGGCCGCTGAGGAAACCGAACAGGTGGGCGATGTTGTCGATCCAGGGCAGCAGGCCRCAGATGAAGAGGAAGAGGACGATGCCGAAGAGGTTGAGGAAGGCTTTCCAGGGTTTCTCCAGCACCTGCCAGCTCTGGAAGAGCTCCACGAAGAGGCAGGCCAGCAGGCCAAACTGGGAGCCGGCAGGGCCCACCTGCAGGGATGGGAGAGGTCAGGGCCAGACACTGAATCACCCCAGACACGTCCCATGTGCCCTGGGGTCATCTCCTCCCCTGGCAAAGTGCACTTGGCTCCCTGTGCAGGACCTGGCACGGAGGGAGGATGAGGAGGGGAGCAYGGTGGGGCTGTTTTGGCAGAGCTGACACCTTCTGTGACCCAGCAGCCAGCCAGCATCACCCCCTCCCGGAGCACAGCCCCGTGCTGGCGCACACCGGGGGGATTATGCCCTTGGCATGATCTCAAAGCCCAGGGTTTGGCTGCCAGCAGATTAGCCATCCGCCTGCCCGGGGACCCTGCACGCTCACAGCCACGTGGTGACATGTGACACTCATGGCATGTGCCAGCACCTCACGTGGGGCAAGGACACCCTCTCCCCCTCTCCCGGCTCCAAAGCCTGCCAGGGGGTGAGAATCCACGCTGCAGCCCCTTCCCCAAACCTCTGCCAGAACGGGGATGAGGAGGGGTGGCCTTTGGGCCCTGGGGAGCTGGCTGGCTTTGGGACAGACCCCCCCAGYCCTCACCTCTGCCCTGTAGGGCAGGAAGATGGCGCTGGCCAGGTTGCCYGTGATGCCACTGAGGATGAAGATGATGGAGATGCGATGCCAGCCCGCCAGCTTCTCCAGGTCCCGCAGCACYGTCATCTGGAACGTCACCGACACCAGGCAGTGGATGATGCTGGGGGACAGACCCCGAGTTAGAGACCCCTGCCCAGCCCTCCCACCCACTGGCCTGGGCAGCAGACACCTCACAAAACACCCTCCACTGATTGCATGTGTCACTGCAGGCTGGGGGGGTGCCCTTCCCTCTTCTCTCCCACCCCATCCCAAGGGACGTTTTGGTCCCCAGTGTCCCCACCCCTGGGGGCTGTGCTCACCCAGCGTGCAGGAACAGGGACAGCCACAGGCGGTAGAACTGGTCAGGGACCTCCGGGTTGAGGAARGGCAGGAGCCCGCAGACCTCGTCCAAGCAGTGCACCTGCAAAGCCAGCAAAGAGGGGGTTGGGGGTCYCCAGAGCCATGGGGAGCAAAGGATGGGTCACAGGGATGCGTTGCCAGCGATGCTGCATGGCAGCTGTGAGGGTCATGAGGCACCACATTGCCCAGGTGCTGGAAAAGGAACAGCTGAGCATCCCCAGTCCCCCAGGAGATGCTGAAGGGTCTTTTCTTGCCTGGAATGTGCCTTTCTCAAGGACACCAATGCTGCCCAGCTGAGGCTGGCTCAAGCCCTACACTTCTTCTTACCCCACCCCAGCAAGGTGGGTGCAGTGGCAGAAGCCCAGCCAAGAGCTGGGCGAGTCCCTGCACTTTGCATCGCCCCTCCTCACACCCATCCCAACCCTGCTCCATTTATGGTGGGACACTCTAAAGACCCTCAGCATGTCCCACACACCCTGCCGTGCCCCCTGGCCCTGCTCACCTGCGAGCAGAGCGTGGCCTCCTCGTGGAAGTAGCCGTGCATGAAGTCGCAGTACTCGCGYGTGGTGATCTCGCAGCTGGCRGGGGCAGGASRRGGCACACTYAGGGMTCCCTGAGCATYCCCCTCTGCTCCCAGCCTGCTGCCACTGTGCTTCCCACCCCTCAAGGCTCCCTCCCTCTGCCCCAGGCACAGCTCTGGACACTGATGGACACCACCAGGCGAGAGGGCAGAGGGGGAGCCAGGCCAGGTGCCCCCCGTGCCAGGTGCCCCCTGTGCCAGGACCCACCTGCCCTTGGTGCCGATGCAGCAGGGCCTGCCCTTGATCTCGCAGTCCAGGTGGGCAAAGCCTGTGTGGTTGGTTTTGGTCTCGTAGGTGCAGATCTAGAAGCAGCAGGGAGAGGAGCCCTGGTCAGGGCCTGGCCCCAGGCTGTCCCTGCAGTGCCCTGCCCAGCTCATTGCTGCTGCCACCGTGGGGTCACCAGCTGATGGTGGCACTGGGCCCTTACCGGCCACTTGGTGATGTCATCCGGCCACACGTGGGGTGGGTTGGATGCTGGCTCCTCACATGTCCTGGCAGGAGGAAYGGGGTGAGCCAGGTGGGTCCCCCTAACACATCCTCCCTACAGACCAGTAACCCCCTTAAGGCACAGACAGCTCTGGGACCTGCCCCTTCCCTGGCTTGGGGGGGATCCTGCCCACCAATGGATGTCCTACAACACCCCACARCAGCTCCTTCTCCACTTGAACCCCACACCTGGACACCTGGACAACCCCACCGAGGCCCATGGGTGCTCCCACCCCAGCAGGACAGGGACCAGCACAACACAATGGCATCACCCACTGCTGCCTGTGTTTAGGACAGGCCTCGTCTCAGTTTCCCCACCGATTCCTACAGTGTGCAAAAGCGCCCCATCCCCTCAGACAGGAGGGTCCAAAGCATCCAAGCTGGAAAGGCACCCTGGGCAGCCCCTCTGTTGTGTGACCGGGCCACCCTCACCCAGCTGTCACTCCTACCTGGGGTCCTGGTGACACACAGCCCCCGAGGTGCGCTTCTCCCCCGAGCCCATGGCCGGGGCGTTGCTGCCTGGCCACTTGATGAACGTCGCCAGCGTCTCCTGCAGGGAGCACGGGGAGAGCGACGCTGCGGCAGGGAACGCATGGCTCTGAGCCCACGAGCACCCTGCCCCAGGGCTGAGGCGGTTCCCCCCTTTCCCCAGGGACCCCCAGCCCGTCCCCGTGCCCACGGCGGGGGCACGCACCGAGCAGTCCTGCGGCAGGGTCTGGATGCAGCCGGAGTTGTCGTTCTGGACGCAGCAGCCGGAGCCGCGCTCCCGGTCGCGCTCGCGCTGGA